GGGTCCCCAGCACATGGCAAGGACTGGAGAGATGGTGGTCTTGGGGACACTGGAAGAGAAGCATGACGGAAATCAAACAAAATTTCAGAATTTCCAAATCTGGTCAAGCAGAAACTGTTGCGGAAGCATTTGGGGGCACCTGGACTCTCAAGTTGTCCCAGCCCATTTGCAGGTCCTGATTTCATTCTTTCAGTGAGGCCTTCCTCAGTGAGCTAGAGATGGTTTGTCTGTGGATTTCCATTCCAGAAGCTGGCTGGGAGGTTGGTGGAAGGATATTTCTCTCTGGCTGGGAAAACGCCAAGCTGCGGAGCTCTTGAAGGCGACCCTCTTCCTTTTTACAAAGAGCTGGATGGAGTTCTGGGCACTGCTGTCCTGGCTGCACTCGCCAAATCACCTTTCCCTCAAGATGTCTGTGGAAATAGTAGGCATGAGGGCCCCGTCTATAAACCAGGCTGCCCAGCCCGGGAGGCCCTGCCTGGCACCCACTGGATGGGTCTGGGCCAGCACTTTGCTGCCCCACAGAATTATAATTGCTGAAGGCTACTGACTATGCCTCCACTTCTTACAGTCATGCCCAGTCTTAGCATAGTGCAAAATATATAACCACTGAGCTTGAGAACTAAATATATATTCCATAGTCTTCTGATGCCCAGGCAAAAAGGGAAAATAAAATCCAGGTCACATAATTCTAGTGATCTGGGCATTTATCTGCCACTAAATTCTGAAAGGAATTTCTTTTGAAGGGAACTTATGTAAGGGATGTCAGAAAAGCCTAATGAAAAATATGTTTAATGTGGTTTCTATAAAAGATTAAATACTTTTGATAAGTTATACCATTTACTTTCTGTGGGCCTATTTCTTCCTCAGTAAGTAGGAATAGTAATAAAGACAGTCTTATCATGAGGGCTGGGATAGCATTGTGAATTTCAAAAAGTGAATGTAGGATGCCCTGTTCAAATGGCAAAAATGCCATGTGAACATCATCTTTTCTTGACCTAGAATGTCAAGTAGCCACTCCCTGTGCTGTGCAGAAAATTCAGCTTTGTCCAAAGCATGGGGATGCCTCCCACCCACACACACACATGAAGGGCAGATGAAGCTCCCTCTAAATATTCCAGAGAGTGTCTCAAGAGAAACTGGCTCCCTCCTAAGTTACCTTCCTTTCAGCTCTGTGGGGGCAGAACTAATTACGAAGGGTCTTTCTTGAGTGTTCAGCAGAAGACAAGTGTTGCTTGCCCTGCATTACGTCATTTACTCCCGATGCGATGGGGCTGGTCCTATCTCCCTAGGTCTCACGTGAGAAAACTGAGGCTGGGAAAGGTTAGGTCCCTGCTCAAGGTCCCTTTGCTGCGAAGTCTGGAACCAAGGTTGGTTTGACTTGAGAGACCATGTGCAGCAAACCACCAGGCTGACCTTCAGAGGCGAGGAGTGGGGGTTGGGGGGTGAGGGGGTTGGGGGGGAAGCAAGAGCCAGCACAGTGGAGGGGGTGGAAACCCAGAAAGTCTGGGTTTGTCCCCAGGCTGGACGAAGTGTGACCACTGGTGTCTGGGGGCACCACAGCACAGTGCCGGAAGCTCTTTATGATCCTGGATTCACATGTCCTTTGGGAGTGGAACGACATGCCTAGTGGTGCTTGTCTTTGTCCAAAGCCAAATCTAAAGGTGTTCAGAACATGGGTCAAGTATGTTTCTAATGTCTTTTCATGCTGGAGGCTATGCCTCTCTCTGTCTCTTCTTCCCCTATTCCTTCTGGTACCTCCTTCTTACCCCTGGTGCCTAGACCTCCCCCAGTGCTCCCCAACACCTGATCACCTGCCCAGCAACAGTTCTCTTCTGGCAGTATGGGGCCAAGGCAGCCTGGTTTGGGCATCAGGACCCCTGCTCCTTGTATGCAGCAGTGGCCTGGCTGCCTGCCCTTCTATGCCGGTGACAATGTTACCCTGCCGCAGGCCTAGCCCTCTCTTTGCACTTCTACCAGGGCATTACTGCCCCCATCTTCAGCCTTGAATCACAGGATCTTGGTCAGGGGAGGAAACATGACCCAGGGTCTAGGGGCCCACTATGACATCAGCCAGGGTGAAGTCAGCACTGTGTATTATGCGCTGGCCTCATGTACCATCTAGAGCTTGGTGTTCTGCCTCATTCCGATGAGTCACCTCCACCTGTGCTTCTAGAAATGGAGGAGGTGGGAACCATTATTGAGCCCTGTGATGGCCCCATGGGGCCACTTCTTGCTTTGTCTTGCTACACCATAGCTAGTGTTATGAGTTTTTTCTGAAGAGTCCTGGGAAGGTTCTTCAGCCCCAGCAATGGAAGCATGTTAATCTGTCACACTGGGCTAGTGCTGCTTAAAAATGTCAGGCCCATACTGGAATTTCTGCATATCTCTGGAAACTGGTCACACGTCCTGGTCTCCCATCTCTGAGATCAGCAGAGAGGAATCAATCACACCAGCCTCCAGGAATCTTCCATGAGTCATGTTACCAGAGATGAGGAGCCCCCAAAATGGGAAGCAATATCACTCCACTGACAGATTGCTTCTAAGGTCACCCCAAAAGACTGCCTTGACACACCCCACTTTATGCTTTATTTCACTGTAGTCTCAAGTATGCATCCTTTTATTATTCTATGGGGTTAGTAGGATGTACATATAAAGCACTTAAAACCTCACCTGAAGCACTTCGCGCCTCTCCATGCTCAGTGACTATACACTTATTTCAGTGGTGAGGGGAACTAGCCACTCTTATTTTCATGAAACACCATTTTCACTGACAGGGGCAACTTACAGATTTAGCTATTTGGCAGACATTTTCAAATAAATAACGAAATGAGCCTGTCACTTCTAAGAAAATAACCAACAGTTATTTGTTTTGCTTTCAGCAATAACTAAATTTTTCTAAAACTTGTATTTGCCACTCTGAACTTGTCCCATTACTTAGATACTTTTCTTATGTGATTAGTGGTAGAGGTACCACGGGTCATTCCTTGAAATGACATAATGAAATGCTTCCATGATCGGCAAAAGTCAAGGAAGCAATTTTCATTCAAGTGACCAATGCGTGATGTCACAACAGCAAGCCTGGAAGATTTTTAATGTGACAGTAGATGACTTTAATGTTATGTTCATGCAAGATTCCAATGTGAAAGTAAATGAAAAGTTTATTGCTATGGTTTTAGATTCCACATTGCAACCAATTTTAATAAACTAGCACTTGTCAAGCTTTAATGCAATACCAAAGAATAGCAACAATTTTCTGAAAAGGCTATTTTCATACTCCTGCCTTTTACAACTACATATCGACTTCAAACAAAACAACAGTTTGCAACAGATTGAATGTAGACTCAGACGTGAGTCCGGCTGTCTTCTGCGAAGCCAGACATTACAGCCCGGTGCAAGACAGAAAACAATGCCGCTCTTCTCACTATTTTATTCTTTGTTGTCAAAAATAGTCTTTTTATGAAAATAACATTCTTATGTTAACATGGCATGGCTACATTTTTATTTTAAAATAAACTAGTAAAATAAGTATCTTTTAAATCTGTTTTAATTTAGTGTCTAGCAAATATCAGTAGATAGAACCCACATCAAAAATGCTCAGAGGGCCTTGAGAAATCTTAAGAGTGTAACATTCCTGAGGAGAAAGGTTTGAGAACCACCATAGTGCACAGTACAAATTTTAGGATTAAAAAAATATCCTACTTCCAGGGAGAGCGACCCCTTGCCCAGTTTTCCTTCTCCAAAGCAAGGTTGAGGAAATTTCCCTGCAAGGGAAGGTCCCTGTCTGTCTCCCAGCCCACTCCCCCAATGCCCCTATCTTTGCTATGCCAGAAAGCACAACCTTAAAGGATAGCTCTATTCCTTAGATTCATTTAAAAACTGTTCCCAGTGTTGTGAGTCCTGCTGGGTTCACCCACCGGCAAAGCCTTCAGTTTTGTAGCAGGTCAATTTCTGGCCACCATCATGGGCCAAGTTCTTCAAACAACATGTGAATGTGGCCGTGCCCCTGCCACATTAACATTCTATTCGGGTGGGGTAAATGCTTGGCTCAGCTCCACTGCCAGGGCATTTTTCTAGAATTTTCCTTCACTTCTACTTCCATCCCCCAAGTACATGGTTACTATAGGAGTGGCCAGTTTTTGCAACATGACACCCCTTCTGGCCAGAGTTGATTAGCCAGTCAGCATATCTCTGTGATTTAGGGACATGAGAGTCAAATAAACCTCATTCCAGTTACTTGAAGATATAAAGCTCGAGAGTCTTTATTTGTGGGCGTTTTCTACCTCATGGATGTAGGAGTGAAGAAAGCCAGTTTGCACCAAAAGATGGGATGAAAAAGATGTGCAGAGAGACGCCCAGCCAAGACAAAGACGGGTCCCAGCCTGTGTGGCAGTATTATTTCCTGGGGCCCAGTCACATCCCTGACATGCTCCTCCTGCTCCCACTCCCAAGTCTGACTTTGCTGTTTGTTTGCTTCAGGAGGTCTGAATTGTTCATCTGTACCAGAGACTACACTCTCCCTAGCCCCTGCCTAGCTCATGCTCCAGAAGCAAAGTCATTCGCTGTGCTAAACGGATGACAGAAAGCTGCCTGGAACTTTGGCAGTGAGTCAGGGGCCCCTGGGTTCAAGAAAAACATGCTATTGTGTGAGAGAGTGAGGTCAGGCAGTGGCCGCTCCCTGGCCGCAATACCAGGCAGTTTGGCGGGAAAATGCAGACACCCCAGAGGAACACTGTTGCTGATTAAATTCAGTCTAACCAGTGGGGAGATCAAGGCTTCATGTTGTCATCTTATCTGTTTCTATTACCCCTGTGTGTTTTTGGAGAAAGATTATTTTTGATCAGGGTCTTTAGCAGGGAATGCAAAGTCATTCTACTGCAATTGCAATGGGTAGTTAGTTTAGACTTCTGAGGTGTGGGGATAAAATTTAGGAATGTGTAAACAAGGGTGAGAAAAAATTACCTCTTCATGTTCACTAATCTCTAACTGAAAATGAACATTTTATAATTTTTCTTAAAACAATTTCTTATAGTTATTCCTCATCCTTGTGCAGGGACCGTGCTAATCTCTGCAACATTCCAATTTTAGTATATGTGCCGCTGAAGCTAGCACTCTTGCGGTTATTCATACCAAATCAGTTAGATAAGATCCCCCTACATAGTTCCATATCACATTAAAATGTTGTAGCTACCTGAAAAAAAAAAGTGCTCATTAGATTTCAAATTTACAGTATTTATTGGACCCCCCCCCATTGGATTCTATTATTTCACACATGTTTTCTATCAAATATTTTAACATTTCACATAATTGGTATATTTTGTTTTATGCATTAAAAATGATTCTAAAAATGGGTTGATGAAATTCATCCAGGAGTTCCATGGTACCAAAAGAAAAGCTAAAAATTCCTGATCTCATTTACCTTGTTAGAAACAGAATAACATACAAGAAACCAAAATTTGGTAAAAATCAGACAAATATAATGTCATTGCTACATAGGACAGATTTTAATAATAATGCTCTAATTATGTATGGCTGGATATTAAAAACAGCAACAATCATTTCCTTTGCTCCTGGATCTTCAATTTGGGCAGAGCTCCACGGAGTAGCTCCTTCTGCTATGTGTGGAATCCTTCTGCTCTGGGGAATCGGGAGGGTGGCAATATCCACTCCAACATGGCTCCCTCACGTCGGTGCTGGCTGTTGCCTGGAAGTCCTGCCAGAGCCTCTATATCTCTCCCGGTGGGTCCCTCCACTGAGCTCCCACGGTGTCTGGATTCCAAGAGGTTCTTTGAGAAACAGAATGCTGCTGTCTCTTGGGACTAGGACCCAGAAATGAGGGCAATGTCCCTCCCACTATATTTTATTGCTCAAGCTGTCAACAGGCCAAGTTCAATTCTGAGGGAAAAGGAGGCAGATCTCTCCCGAGTCACAAAATTTATAACCAGGTTTTATCTACCACAAATGTGATCTATGGTTTCCTTTCAAATTACTTCTTTTATAAGACTTTCACATTTGTTAAGATGAAATCTCTAAAATGGATGATTTAGTGGTCTTGGCAAATGACCCCCAATGGGGTGGGGGAGGAGCGAGCCAGCCCACCTGCTGTCAGGTTGGCTTCCTCCCATTCCAGCTGCCCCTCCCTGGCTTCCCCCAGGATTCTGAGCCTTTGAAGTCTTCAGTTGAGGCTATGAGGAAGAGGAGAAAGAGGAGGTAAGGAACCAGAGGGAACACAGGGAGGCGGAGGGGTAGGAGAGGTGTCCCTTTTGTCAGAGCCATGCTGAGGAGATCATCTCGCAAGCGTGTGTGCGCGTGCAATTTATTGGGAAATTGTATTTTTCTGGACAGTAAAAGTTGAGGACAATCTGAGTGCTCCTCAGTAGGGAGTTGGTTAAATCACACACAATCCATCTCATTATTTCTAAATTCTGTATTTGTGAATTTACCTACTTGCTGAAATGTATTTGTAAACCCTGAAGTCAACCCTCTTGGTGCGTTTTGCGGACTTGTGTGGAGCAGGGGAAAGTTGGAGGCACCCCAGGCACACCCTTCCCAGCTGAGGCCAAGGGTGGCGCCTACCTGCCTTCCACAGCGTCCCTGCTGCCCTGAGTTTAGGGCAGCGTTTCTTGCAGGTGTCGACTGTTTGGCGATTTCCCTGTTTCAAATGGGCCCCGCCAGAGCCGGCGTGCTGGCTAGTGCTCCCGAGAGTAGGAAGATGGTGATGTGCTTAGTGGAGAACACAGGTGTTAAATGAGCTTTGTTCAGGTGTGACTCACAGTGGTGTTGGCTCTGAGTTAATGTGAGTGAACCAACAATATACTAAATAAGGTGTCTTAAGCGGAAACACTTATAAAACAAGGTAATGTATTGTTTGGTTGATAAGAGTTTACAGATAGAAAACATCCTAAGGTTTTGAAGGACAGAGGTTTGCCAAGGGTGTTTGTATTTAAAAGAAGGAGGGGAGAAGGCAGGGAGGGAAAATAATATTCTTTTTCCTCATTTGTTAATTGGGGAGATTGGATTCCATTCTTTCACCCAACAAGTAGAAGTTGCTGTAGGGTCAGGAATGGACACAGGGCAGGTTTTCTAGGATCCAGCAGACCGGGTAAAGGAGGAGTCAGAGCCCTCAGTGGCTTTTTGCAGGCTTTTATTGGGGTTTACCAGGTACACAGCAGGCAGGGGTACTGGGGGGCCAGGAGGCTGGCAGGAGAGGCCAGGGGCCTCCCAGCCCCCAGCAAGTCTTCACTCTATCTGGGCTCTCCGGCCTTCTCTCTCTTGGCTTCTGCTGCTTCTGGCATCCCCGTGACGCCACCCTTAAGAGTCCAGTCTCTCAGCCCAGGTGTACCCACTTCAGGTGCCCGCCATCAGCATGTATTCAGGACCCCAGGGTTCCCTCATCTATCCTAATGGCGGGGGGGAGGGGGCAGAAAAGCCTGATACCTTTTACCTACCCTACTGTTGCATAACCGTCATAGGCCAGGTACTATTCTAAAAGCCTGGAGAGAAACCATGAAGAGGTTAAAAAGTATCAATGAAGATTAGATTAGACCTTATATAACAGAAAACCCAGCTTCAACAAGATAGCAGATTTATTTAGTTTTGTCACAAAGCAGGTCCAGACACTCCCAGATCCGAGCTGGATCGGCGGCTCTACAGTCACCAGGGACACGGCATCTCTTTCTCTGTGTGCTGTTTCCTTGCTGTAGCGTCATCCGGGCCACCTCATGGCTCCAAGATGGTTCATGTGACTCCAGTCATGGTATCCCTGTCAGGCAGTAGGAAGGATAGTGCACAAGAATGTCCCTTCAGAGAGTTTTCTTTTATGGTCCAGAATGTGGTCGACCTTGGAGAATGTTCTATGTGCACTTGAAAGAATATTCTACTTTTGTTGGATGGGAGTGGTCTACAAATGTCCATAAAGTCAAGTTGTTTGGTAGTTTGTTTGAAGTCTTCCCCGGCCCCATGGATTCTCTGAAAGACTGTGAGGTCTCCAGTCATAATGGTGGATTTGTCTATTTCTCCTTCCAGTTCTGTCTATTCTTGAATTGTATATTTTGAAGGTCTGTTGTTGGGTGGGTATACATTCAGGATTTTTATTTTCTTGATGGTTTAATGCTCCTATAATTATGAAATTTCCATGTTTATCCAAAGTAATAATTGCTAGTCCTGAATCCTACTTTGCCTGATAGCTTTCTGGTGATTATTAGTGTCTACACAGTATAAAATTTTCTATTCTTTAATGTTTAACCTATCTGTGTATGGATTTTTTAAGTATTTCTTTTAGATGGCACATAATTGTGTCTTGCTTTTTTAATTCCAGTCTGCTTCTATCTTTCACTGGAGTCCTTAGACAATTTATATCCAGTGTAATTATCCATACTATTGGATTTGCTACCATTTTGCTGTTGATTTTCTACTGTTCTGTTTTTTCTTTTTTCATTTTTTTTCTTTTTCTTCCTTTCAATTTTTTAGACTTATTAATTATACCTCTTTGGTTGGGGGTTCTTTTTACATCTTAAAAAAGCCAGATTTAGTAGGAAAATAAGAAAGAAGAGGCACCTGCATATTCACAGGTGGGCAGGAGAGCTGCCTATTTGTGTTTTTTTTCCTTGACTAAGCAAGTTCACAAAACATACTTTCAACTTTTTCCAGTGTATCTTCAAATAATATCACTTCATGTGCAGTGTAAGAACCTAACCACAGCATCCCTCTGTTTGTCCAGACTATCTCTTATGCTGTTGTGACATATTTTGCTTCCATGTAGTCTACAAAACACGAAATATATTAGCAATTTAATTTTTATTTAATTGATAAGAATGAGGGAAAAAATCTATACCCACACAATTACTATTTCCAGTACCTTATGTAATTTAGTAATTATTAACATGCAAGGAGTACCAGGGGCCTCAAATTGTTAAGGGATGTATATTCTGAAAAGTATTCTGCCATCCAAGTGCCCAAAGACAGAGGAAGAATATTCTTAGCGTGAAAGATTTTTAGTAGAGAAGAAAGGATATTCCTAGCAAAACTATGAAAATTACCCATCCCTTGTCAGCAAATGCCAAACATGCGTGGCCTGAAATGGGGCTTCTGAGGCCTGAAAACTTGCCACAAGTTTAAGGTAGCTTCTGGCAGGGAACCACAAGGAAGGGGTTAGACAGGCCCAGATTGCAGGGGCAGAGAGAAAATGAGCAACATACCACACCAAAATAATGCCTGCCGCTGTGTCTCCCAAGGGCCACGTGCAGCCTCCCCACAAGCCTCTCACCTTCGTCTCTCCCAAGTACCTCTTCCTAGTGTCTCTACACGTCTCCTCCAAGTCCCTGGTCACAGGTTGGACCTGGAACAGCAAGAGTTGTGGGCATGCCTGTCCCCATGTTCTACAGCCCCCCTGGCTTCTCAGCTCTGCGCCTGTTCCCAGTGGCCCTCTGCTCAGCAAGTGTGGGGCCTGAGTCCAGGGGGCTGCATGTAAGTGGGGGTGAGGAAGAAGGTGCCTTCCCTTCACAAAGATGTATCTGCAGCATAATCAGCAACAAATTCAGGGGAGTGCTATACACTTTTCAGAAGCTATTCCTCTCTACACCATGCCTTGAAAATGTCAGCCGTCTAGCAATTCTGAAGGACAACATCTTCCTCTTCAACTCAGAGAACTCAGCACTGCTTGGAATCCCCTTCCCTGCAGATGACACCACCAAACAGAAAGCCAGGGCAATACCAAGCTCATCATGTTTGATTTTTTTCTCAGGGATCAGTGTTGCTCCATGTCTAAAAACTGTTGCCTTGTGTATTTTGTTGTTTTCTCGTTGTTAATAGTGAGAAGATAAATGTGGTTCTAGTTACTCCATCATGACTTAGAAAGAGAACTTCTTAATATCATTTTAGCCCCCATATCAATTAACATATTTCTGGTTACACCATTTAAATTTTTTAATAACACATTAATTTACTAAATTATTACTCATAAAAATTGTATGCAATTGTTTTCATGGCATTGTACTAGGCACCATGGAAGTCTGCAGTTTATGGAACGATCTATTCCTAAGAATTATCTCTCATTAAAATTTAAGATAAACTAAAATGTATTCGCAAGAAGCACAAAACAAGATTAACTGTGC